GCGCATCACCATGCCTGGCTAATTTTTTTTTTTTTTTTTTTTTTTTGTATTTTAGTAGAGATGGGGTTTCACCATGTTGACCAGGATGGTTTTGATTTCCTGATCTTGTGATCTGCCCGCCTAGGCCTCTCAAAGTGCTGGGATTATAGGCATGAGACACCACGCCTGGCCCACTTTGATGTTTTTGAAGAGTACTGCCTTAGTCAGTTTGGGCTGCTATAACATGCCATAGACTAGGTAGATTAAACAACAGGTATTTATTTCTGTCAGTTCTAGAGGCTGGGAAGTCAAAGATTAAGATGTTGGCATGTCTGGCATATCCAGTGTCTGGTGAGGGCATTCTTCCTGATTTGCAGACAGCTGTCTTCTCATTGTATCTTCTCATGGCCAAGGGCAGAGAGAGACAGAGAGAGAGAGAGAGAGTGCAAGCTCTTTCCCGTCTCTTCTCATAGGGCACTACTACCATCATGAGGGCTGCACTCTTCTGAATTAATTAGTTGCTGAAGTGTCCTCCTAATACCATCCCATTGAGGGTAAGGCTTTCAACATATGAGCTCTGAGTCAACACAGACATGCAGTGCATAGCAAGCCCATTGTTTGAAGAATGTCTCTTAATTTGGATTTGTCTGATGTTTCCTCACAATATAATTAAGGTTACCCATTTATAGCAGGAATACTACAGAGATAATGTTGTATCCTTCTCAGTGTATTTTATCAGGAGACATGACATGTTTGTTCTATTACTCATGATATTAACTTTGATCACTTGGTTAAGGTACTGTCTGCTAGATTTCTCCACTATAAAGTTATTACTTTCCCTATTGCAATTCATAAATATCTTGTGGGGAGATACTTTGAGACTACATGTGTTCTATTTCCCATCAAACTTTTACTCATTAAAAGTTTCAGTTTTGAATCTTTGATTTTTAGGTTATATTCTAGTTTTCTTCAGAATATAGAGTGCTTTAGATCTAAAGATGTCTTGCTAAAGAAGTTGTATTGTATGTACTTGCTGAAGCCCCCATTTTACAGGCTGTCATTTTGTTTGGATCACAACATCTAGACTCAAAGAGAATTTTAGAGCTGAAGGAGTATGATCATGTAGGCCAACTCCTTCAGTTTGTACATAAGAACACCAAGGCTCAGGGATATTAAACTGCTGCCAAGTTACATAGTGATTCTCAGCCTATGCTGTTTTTACCCTACCCTAAGGCCTCAATCAGAAAGCAGAACCATCAGCTTAATTCTTATGCTACTTAAACATGACTGATTATTAAATTGAGCTATATCACTAAGATACAATTTTGATAGGAAGAAATCTGTGGAACAGAGTTTGTCCTGTTCCACAATATCCACGTCATGGAGGGTCTGATGGCTTTAACTTTCTTTGTTATAAAGAGTAAAGCTTCTACCCACTTAAGATATACACTACTTTGTCGTATGAGAATTCAGAATACCTAGAAAATGCTCTGTGTTGGTGTCACCATCCTCTTCAGAAACCCTCAGCTGGTTTCAGTGTGCTATAACATCATAGCTAAACTCCACTGTTTTATCTTTCTTTTTTTTTTTTATGGCAAGAACTGCAATTATCTTTTTTTTTTTTTTTTTCTTGAGATGAGGTCTCTCTGTCCCCCAGGCTGGAGTGCAGTGGCAAGATCATAGCTGACCTCCCCCTCCTGGCCTCAAGGCCTCAAGTGATTGTCATGCCTCAGCCTCCCAAGGAGCTAAGACCACAGACACATGCCACCACACCTGGCTAATTTAAAAGTTTTCTTTTGAAATGAGAGATCCAAGATGGCTGATCACTAGCAGCTCGGGATTGTAGCTCCCACTAAAAGAGCAGAGAACGAGAGGACGCCACACTTTCAGATCAATTTTTGTTGCTCACGCACCAGGAGTTTCCCAGCGGAGGAGCCCCACGTGTCGCCAGCGCGACTCTTGAGGCCGATGAGGCGGTTTTGCCGCTGCCTTGGAGCGGCGGTTCTTGGTGCAGAGTCAGAAAAGCACCATCAATCTTAAAGCCGCTGTTTTGGCCGGCACAATGGGTTGCTCAGATTCTAGCGCCGGGAATCAACAAGTTGGACGTCCATTCAGAAACCCAACTTATTATAAAGACGGTAATTATAAAGACCACAGATGGATAAATCTATAAAGAAGGGAAGAAAACAGCCTAAAAAGGCTGAGAATACCCAAACTCAGAACGCCTCTCCCTCTACAGGGGATCACAGTTCCTCATCAGCCACAGAACAAGGCCTGATGGAGAGAGACTGTGTTCCATTAGCAGAAGCAGACTTTAAAAAGTGGATGATAAGAAACTTCTGGGAATTAAAAGAACTTGTTCTAACCCAATGCAAAGAAACTAAGAACTTTGAAAAAAGGTTTGACGAAATGTTAAAAATAACACACAATTTAGAAAGGAATATAAGTGAATTAATGGAGCTGAAAAATACAACACAAGAACTTCGCGAACTATGCACAAGTTTTAACAGCCGAATTGATCAAGCAGAAGAAAAGATATTAGAGGTCGAAGACCAACTTCATGAAATAAAACAAAAAGACAAGATTAGAGAAAAAAGGATAAAAAAGAACGAGCAAAGTCTCCAAGAAATATGGGACTATGTGAAAAGACCTAATCTACGTTTGATAGGTGTACCTGAATGTGACGAAGAGAATCAATCCAAGCTGGAAAATACGCTTCAGGATATTATTCAGGAAAACTTTCCCAACCTAGCAAGGCAGGACAATATTCAACTCCAGGTAATACAGAGAACACCACAAAGATATTGCTCAAGAAGACCAACCTCAAGGCACATAATCGCCAGATTCAACAGGGTTGAAATGAAAGAGAAAATACTGAGGGCAGCCAGAGAGAAAGGTCAGGTTACCCATAAAGGGAAGCCCATCAGACTCACAGCAGATCTCTCAGCAGAAACCCTACAAGCCAGAAGAGAGTGGGAGCCAATATTCAACATCCTTAAAGAAAAGAACTTTCAACCCAGAATTTTACATCCAGCCAAACTAAGCTTCATAAGCGAAGGAAAAATAAAATCTTTTGTGAACAAGCAAGCACTCAGAGATTTCATCACCACCAGGCCTGCTTTACAAGAGCTTCTGAAAGAACCACTACAAATAGAAAGGAACAACCAGTATCAGCCTTTCTAAAAAATGCCAAAAAATAAAGAACATCAACATAATTAAGAAATTGCATCAATTAATGGGCAAAACAGCCAGCTAACATTAAATGACAGCATCAAACTCATATATATTGTTATTCATTCTAAATTTAAATCGACTAAATCCCCCAATCCGAAGACACAGACAGGCAAAAAAAGCCAAGACCCATTGGTATGCTACATCCAGATCCATCTTACATGCAAGGATACACAAAGACTCAAAACAAAGGGATGGAGAAAAATTTACCAACCAAATGGAGAGCAAAAATAAATAAATAGAAAGCAGGAGTTGCAATTTTTGCTGATAAAATAGACTTCAAAGCAACAAAGATCAAAAGAAGCAAAGAAGGATATTACATAAAGATAAAAGGATCAATGTAACAAGAAGAGCTAAAGATCCTAAACGTATATGCACCCAATACAGAAATACCCAGATATATAAGACTTATAAAGAGACTTGGACTCCCACACAATAATAGTGGGAGACTTACAGATCAATGAGACACAAAGTTAACATTGATATTCAGGACTTGAACTCAGATCTGGAACAAGTAGACTTAATTAACATTCATAGAACTCTCCACTTTAAATACACAAAATATACACTCTTATCAGTACTACATCACATGTATTTACAGGTTTAAATGAAATATTGGTTGGCTGCTTGTTAATTATTTTCTTCCCTCATTTTTTTGTGTGTGTGTCTCTATTATTAAACATAATTACAGGCATACCCATTTTTAGACTGCATTTTAGCCCAGGCAATAAAGCAACACCCCTGTTCTCTCTCCCTCTTCCTCTTCCTCTTTCTTCCTTTCCTTTATTCTTTTTTTTTTTTTTTAATTCTTTTTCTTTCTTTCTCTCTTTCTTACTCTAAAAAAAAAAAAAAAAGTTTTCTTTTATAGAGAGAGGGTCTCCCTATTTTGCCAGGATACCTTTGTTCACTTCTTAAGAGACTAACATTTGTTATCTGTAATGTTTACATTTTTACAATGACCGTAAAGATTAGTGATTAAGTAGCATTTTGGAATCTTTTTTCCTGCTTACAAAAATAATGCAAGCTCATTAATTGTTTTTTAGGTTCCTTTATAATCTGACCTCTCTTTTCAATCTTACCCCTTCTTTCTTTTTTCTTTTCTTTTTTGAAACAGAGTCTCGCACTGTCCCCGGGGCTGGAGTGCAATGGTGCTACCTTGGCTTACTGCCACCTCCGCCTTCCAGGTTCAAGCGATTCTTCTGCCTCAGCCTCCTGAGTAGCTGGGATTATAGGCACCAGCCACCATGCCCAGCTAATTTTTTGTATTTTTAGTAGAGACAGGGTGTCACTACGTTGGCCAGGCTGGTCTCAAACTTCTGATCTTGTGATCCACCTGCCTCAGCCTTCCAAAGTGTTGGGATTACAGGTATGAGCTACTGCGCCTGGCTTTTTTTTTTTTTTTTTTTTTTTTTTTTGAGACAGTTTCTGTTGCCCAGGCTGGGATGCAGTGGCACAATCATGGCTCATTGCAATCTTTACCTCACAAGTTCAAGTGATTCTCATGCCTCGGCCATTTGAGTAGCTGGGGTTATAGGCATGTACCACCACACCTGTCTAATTCTTCTATTGTTAGTAGAGATGGGGTTTCACCATGTTGGCCAAGCTGGTCTCACACTCCTGCAATCTTGCCTTATTTCTGCAGCTACTTATTTTGTAGTCTCTATTTCAATGAGATCATCCTCTTTACTTTCCCCCAAATTACTCTATACTCAGTTCTACATCAATGCCTTTGACCATACTGCCCCCCATACTTAAAATGTGCCATTTGTAGTCTCTTCTCTTATCCGTATCTTCCCAACTTGAAAGGACCAGTTCAAGACCAACCTTTTCCCCTAGAAAGGTTATAGTCCACATGAGATTATACAGATTTTATGAGATTATAACCCATTTTACACACTGTAGCTTCTCTTCAGAGAACTGAAAAGGCATGGAAAACCAAAGGGATCTCTTAAACTTAAATTGATCTTTATAATTAAGTCCATTGTGTTTTTAGAATCAAACATGTAGAAGCTTTGCATTTTCAGAGAGGCTCAGCATATCAATCAGGCAGGCTATTGTTTACCTTAGCACAATACTTTGATGGGAATCTATTTTCCTTTCTTATTTTTTATTCTATTCTATTTGTTTGTTTATTTGAGTACAGACACAGGGTTTTGCTATGTTGCTTAGGTGGGTCTCAAACTCCTGGCCTCAAGCAGCCCTCCCACCTCAGCCTCCCAAAGTGCTAGGGTTAAAGGGATGAGCCACTGTGCCTAGCCTATCTTTCTTTCTTAAAATCATTCCCCACCCATCCTTTCTACTCCCGGAAGATATTTTTTTATTTATATGAAGATACAGAGTAATCTTTAGGAAAGGAAATCTTTAGAATGTTTTTGTCAAAACAAAACAAAAATACTGAACAAATGATTTGCCAGATCATGCAAGGCAAGTGACTCTCAAAGCATCTACTTGCAGAATTACCTGGGAGGCTTATTTAAAGTACAGATTTCCATTCCCTGGCCTCCCAGACCACTGATAATGAATCTCAGGGTAGGGGCTATAAGACTGCATTTTCTTTAACAAATATTTTATTTTTTATTTTTACTTTTGAGATAGTCTTACTCTGTCATCTAGGCTGCAGTGTGGTGGCCTGATCTTGGCTCACTGCAACCTTCACCTCCCAGGCTCAAGTCATCTTTCCATCTCAGCCTCCCGAGTAGCTGGCACTACAGGTGCCCACCACCATGCATGGCTAATTTTTTTGTAGAGACAGGGTCTTTTCATGTTGTCCAGTCTGGTCTTAAACTCCTGAACTCAAGAAATCCACCTGCCGTGGCCTCCCAAAGTGCTGATATTACAGGTGTGAGCCACTGCACCCGGTCAAGACAATATTTTTAATAAATTCTTCAGGTGATGCTTTTATATCATAGTGGTTTCAGAACCACTATGGAAGAAAGTTATTTTCTGTAAGATATATCTAATATTCTTTCTAATGTTTACTGGCAGCAGGATATTATTGCTTTTTATTATATATTATTGCTTTTATGAATCAAAGTGCATTTGAAACTTGAAAACAAAAATGTGTGGTAATAGTGTAAAACTTGATAGATCCCATATTTGTGCTTGTTAAAAGGTATAACCAAATGCTAAACAGCACTCTGAGAAGCCAACCCCAGAGACCAAAAATACTTTTTTTTTTTTAAAAAAAGGAATTTACATTACCGTTATGCCTATGGTAAAAAAATGATTGTTATATAACACTGCAAAGTATTAAGTTGGAATAAGACTTCAATTAGGATGTAATTTAATATTATATAAGCCAATAGTTAAGCATTTAATGAAATCAGTATACTTTTTACACAGCTGTAAATAAAAGTATGCAAAATAGTATATTTGTCTTTTCACTTAATTTTACAGGTCTTGAAGCTTTCTCAAGAATTTGCACAATTAAACCATTTTACTCTAGGGGAAAAAACTACAACTGCTAATTTAATTAAAAGTGAAAATATCTGTAAAGATCCTGAGTCTAACGAGCCAATTTTGGAAGCAGAAATTCAAACCCCAAAGGAAGAGAGAGAGGAACTCTGGTAAATTGGAAAAATCATATATCACATTAATTATTTGGAGGGCGTATATTTTATTTGGCTTGATCATTATTAAGAATTTGACATTCAGCTGGGTGTAGTGGCTTACATCTGTAATCCCAGCACTTTGGGAGACTGAGGTGGACAGATCACTTGAGCTCAGTCAGGAGTTTGAGATCAGCCTGGGAACCATAGCAAAACACCGTCTCTGCAAAAAACAAAAATTAGCCAGGCATGGTGGCATGTGTCTGTAGTCCCAGCTACTCAGGAGGCTGAGGTGGGAGGATTGCTTGATCCTGGGAGGCAGAGATTGTAGTGAGCCATGATTGTGTCACTGCGCTGCAGCCTGGGCAACAGAGCCAGATCCTGTCTCAAAATAATAATAATTTGATATTCATTTCCAAATTATGTGAGTGGAAAAATTAGTTATAAACGTTCTCCAAGAATTTTGTCTTTTGATATATTATTACATTTTAAAACTTTTTTCCTGCTTTTAAAAAATGAATATATGTGGCTGAGCACGGTGGCTCACGCCTGTAATCCCAGCACTTTGGGAAGCTGAGGCGGGTGGACCTCCTGAGGGTGGGATTTTGAGACCAACCTGACCAACATGGAGAAACTCCATCTCTACTAAAAATATAAAATTAGCCAGGCATGTTGGCACAGGCCTGTAATCCCAGCTACTTAGAAGGCTGAGGCAGGAGAATTGCTTGAAGGCAGAGGTTGTGGCGAGCCAAGATCACACCATTGCACTTCAGCCTGGGCAACAAGAGTGAAACTCCATCTCAAAAAAAAAAAAAAAAAAGAAGAAGAAGAAGAATGTATGCTTGTTTAAAGAAGATTTAGAAAGCATGCAAAAGTATAAAGAGATTATAACAACCCTCAATTCTCACCAGGGAAAGATGTTATCTTAATTTTTCTTTCTTTTTTCTGTATACATACACATATATGTATATTTTTACATAATTAAGATTATGCTCTGCAGAGGTTTTTTGTTGTCTTTATTTAACATTGCATTTGATAATTTTTTGAGCACCTTTCTTTTATTTATCTGTCTGTCTATCTATCTATCTTATTAATTTTGCCCTCTAACTCCTGTACTTCTACTTTTTTAACCAAAAGTACCTTTCACAGAAACATGAGGCTTTGACAAGTGCACTACTCTGCTTGGGCACAAAAGCTAATAGTTGCAATCAAATTTTGTCTTGGAAAAAGTCTAGAATGAAATAACCAAAAAGAAACAATAGATGTCAATTTTGGCATATTCCATACTAAAGGATACATTCATCAGTAAAGTGAGGAAATATAGTCTAGGAGTAGACAAATTTATATCTTTGTAAATATTCTAAAGATAGAAGGAGATTGTTTTGCCAGTTTGGGGTCCCTGAATATTATGCCCTCTTAAAAGTTGCATTTGACTGGGCATGGTGGCTCATACCTGTAATCCCAGCACTTTGGGAGGCCAACGTGGACGGATCACAAGGTCAGGAGATTGAGACCATCCTGGCCAACATGGTGAAACCTGGTCTCTACTAAAATCCAAAAACTTAGCCAGGTGTGGTGGCGTGCACCTGTAGTCCCAGCTACTTGGGAGACTGAGGCCATGGAATCACTTGAACCTGGGAGGCAGAGGTTGCAGTGAGCCTAGATTGTGCCATGACACTGCAGCCTGGTGACAGAGTGAGACTCCATCTAAAAAAAAAAAAAAAATGTTGCTTTTAACTTTAGAGTAAGTTTGAGCCCAGGATTCACAATTGTGAAACCTAGTTGCAGATGTGGGAGAGTATCTTGGGAGATGATGGGGAAGGGGTATGGTAATGGTCACAAGAACAGAGAGCCAAGAAGCTAGATCACAGCATTTAGGTTTGTGGTAGGGAAAAAGAAAGTGTAGTTCTTGAGCACTGGAATAGTGTATTACAGGATATTTGAGGAAGATTGTTCTAGTATCTATATTAGATAAAATGGAGATGGAAGATAGACCAATTAATCTATATATGAGTGATAGATGAAGAGATAGTTGCCTACATTGAGTAAGTGGCAATGAAAATGACATGGTCAATCTGAAAGTTCTTCAAGAAGAAGCTGACATAAATGATCAAATCTGACAAAAGTCCACCCAGGTGATTTTGGGTAATTGGCAGAGATACTTGCTTTAGGGAGCAAGGATGTGGCTTTAATTCATCTAGGGGTGGGAAATTTTGCCATGAGAAAGATTATGGCCTTCCCTCTTAAGAGCTCTTTGATGCCACCTGTTTCCAAGACTTGGTCCAATCTGTTTCCCATAACTGGGACTCTGAAAAGTCTAGGTATTTGCCATCCACCTTCTCCTCTTTTTTTTTCTCATAATGTTTTCCAGCTTGTTTATCTCCTATTCCCCTCTTCACAGCCTCCCCTCATCATGGGTCCATAACACAACCACATTCAGCAAGACATTGTGTATCTACCATGTGCCAGGCACTGTTGGTAGGTACTGAGGATATACAATAAGACACAGTTTCTTATCCTTATGATCCACATCGTCTGATGGAGAAAGATGGTTAAACGAGGCAGTACTGGGTACTGTGCAAACACAAAGCAGGGGCCCTGGCCCAGGCTAATGAATCAAAAAATATTCTTTTTATTTATTTTGAGATGGAGTTTCACTCTTGTTGCCCAGGCTGGAGTGCAGAGGTGCAATCTGGGCTCACTGCAACCTCCACCTCCCGGGTTCAAGTGATTCTCCTGCCTCACCCTCCTGAGTAACTGGGATTACAGGTCTGCACCACCACGCCAGCTAATTTGTTTGTTTGTTTGTTTTTAGTAGAGATGGGGTTTCTCCATGTTGATCAGGCTGGTCTTGAACTCCTAACCTCAGGTGATCCACCTGCCTCAGCCTCCCAAAGAGCTGGGATTACAGGCGTGAGCCACCGCACCTGGCCAAAAAAATATTCTTTTTTTTTTTAAATTTTTATTATTATTTTGCATTTTAGGTTTTGGGGTACATGTGAAGAACATGCAAAATTGTTGCATAGGTACATACATGGCAGCATGATTTGCTGCCTTCCTCCCCTTCACCTATATCTGACATTTCTCCCCATGCTATCTCTCCCCAACTCCCTACCCCCTGCTGTCCCTCCCCTGTGTCCCCGCAACAGACCCCAGAGTGTGATGTTTCCCTCCCTGTGTCCATGTGTTCTCATTGTTCAACACCCACCTATGAGTGAGAACATGCAGTGTTTAATTTTCTGTTCTTGTGTCAGTTTGCTGAGAATGATGGTTTCTGGGTTCATCCATGTCCCTACAAAGGACATGAACTCATCGTTTTTGATGGCTGCATAGTATTCCATGGTGTATATGTGCCACATTTTCCCTGTCCAGTCTATCATCGATGGGCATTTGGGTTGGTTCCAGGTCTTTGCTATTGTAAACAGTGCTGCAGTGAACATTCGTGTGCATGTGTCCTTATAGTAGAACGATTTATAATCCTTTGGATATATACCCAGTAATGGGATTGCTGGGTCAAATGGAATTTCTATTTCTAGGTCCTTGAGGACTCGCAACACTGTCTTCTACAATGGTTGAACTAATTTACACTCCCACCAACAGTGTAAAAGTGTTCCTATTTCTCCACAACCACTCCAGCATCTGTTGTCTCCAGGTTTTTTAATGATCGCCATTCGAACTGGCGTGAGATGGTATCTCAGTGTGGTTTTGATTTGCATTTCTCTAATGACCAGTGATGATGAGCATTTTTTCATATGTTTCTTGGCCTCATGTATGTCTTCTTTTGTAAAGTGTCTGTTGATATCCTTCGCCCACTGTTGAATGGGCTTGTTTGTTTTTTTCTTGTAAATCTGTTTTAGTTCTTTGTAGATTCTGGATATCAGCCCTTTGTCAGATGGGTAGATTGCAAAATTTTTTTCCCATTCTCTTGGTTGCCAATTCACTCTAACAACTGTTTCTTTTGCCATGCAGAAGCTGTGGAGTTTGATTAGGTCCCATTTGTCTGTTTTGGCTTTTGTTGCCAATGCTTTTGGTGTTTTGGTCATGAAGTCCTTGCCTACGCCTATGTCCTGAATGGTTTTGCCTAGATTTTCTTCTAGGGTTTTTACGGTGTTAGGTCTTATGTTTGAGTCTTTAATCCATCTGGAATTAATTTTAGTGTAAGGTGTCAGGAAGGCATCCAGCTTCTGCTTTCTGCACATGGCTAGCCAGTTTTCCCAACACCATTTATTAAACAGGGAATCCTTTCCCCATTGCTTGTTTTTGTATGGTTTGTCAAAGATCGGATGGTTGTAGATATTTTGTGCTGCCTCCGAGGCCTCTGTTCTGTTCCATTGGTCTATATCTCTGTTTTGGTACCAGTACCATGCTGTTTTGATTACTGTAGCCTTGTAGTATAGTTTGAAGTCAGGTAGCATGATGCCTCCAGCTTTGTTCTTTTTGCTTAGAATTGACTTGGCTATGTGGGCTCTCTTTTGCTTCCATATGAAGTTTAAGGTGTTTTTTTCCAGGTTCTGTGAAGAAGGTCATTGGTAGCTTGATGGGGATAGCATTGAATCTATAAATTACTTTGGGCAGTATGGCCATTTTCACAATATTGATTCTTCCCAACCATGAGCATGGAATGTTTCTCCATCTGTTTGTGTCCTCTCTTATTTCATTGAGCAGTGGCTTGTAGTTTTCCTTGAAGAGGTCCTTTATGTTCCTTGTTAGTTGTATTCCTAGGTATTTTATTCTCTTTGTAGCAATCATGAGTGGCAGTTCATTCTTGATTTGGCTCTCTTTAAGTCTGTTATTGGTGTATAGGAATGCTTGTGATTTTTGCACATTGATTTTGTATCCTGAGACTTTGCTGAAGTTGCTTATCAGTTTCAGGAGATTTGGGGCTGAGACGATGGGGTCTTCTAGATATACAATCATGTCATCTGCAAATAGAGACAATTTGACTTCCTCCTTTCCTATTTGAATACCCTTTATTTCTTTTTCTTGCCTGATTGCTCTGGCTCCAAAAAATATTCTTAAAGGACGTGTGAGTAATCAAATTTATCTTATACTGTTCTGCATCATTTATCTTTTAAAAACTGCTAAATTCAAAATAAAATGTTTAATTATTTTCTTTATAGGAATTTTAAAAGGAATAAGACACTCCCTAGACACAATTTTTCTCCCTGTTCCTTTTCAGCTTTTTTTAGACATTTTTCCATAGTATGTATATATGTATGTACACACATGAATATATATGTGTGTGTGTGTGTGTGTGTGTGTGTGTTATTGGGTTTTGTGCCACACTTTTACTTTGATAAGTATTTTTCTTGTTTATGAATAGTCTTGAATGTCACTTTTATGTTGAAGCATCTTTAATTCTCTTAGCCATTTCCAGATCTCTATTTATTTAGTATGAGCATTATTGTACAGTCTTTTTTCTTCTTATGAATTATTTTATTGCAATAAATTCATTGATATACAATTATTCGGAGTCTGAAGATTTTTATGGCACTTTTTTCTTTGAGACAGAATCTCCCTCTGTCACTCAGGCTGGAGTGCAGTGGTGTGATCTTGGCTCACTGCAACCTCTGCCTCCTGGGCTCAAGCTATTCTCTCGCCTCAGCCTCCCAAGTAGCTGGGACTACTGGCATGTGCCACTACACCTGGCTAATTTTTGTATTTTTGGTAGAGACAGGGTTTCACCATGTTGGCCAGGCTGGTCACAAACTCCTGACCTCAGGTGATCCACCCGCCTTGGGCTCCAAAAGTCTGGGGATTACAGGAGTGAGCCACCATGCCCAGGCATGGCTCTTGATCTGTATTGCCAAATTGCTTTCTTAAAGAATCTGAGCACCAACTATAATCTGTGAAGTGTGCTGTGCTAGGTTTCAAGGTACTCAAAACAAAATTTAAGACTGAAGGAATAAAAATAAAACCAGCATATATGTGTTCATTCTCCTTGTCATCCACACACACTCTGACCATTGAAGGTGCATTCCCTCCTCTTGGTTTCCATGGCTTTTACCTCCTCTGCTTGTTCCTTACAAGTTTTTAGGCTTCTGTTTAGGATGATCCTCCTCCTGTTACTTCCCCCCTTCTCCCTGGTTCCTTTTATCCAACCCCAGTGTTTCTGGTCACATTTTTCTGTGTCTGTATCTTCACCACCAACATCACTGTAGTCAGTCCATAGCCACATTACCCCATGTTGGTCTACCATCTGCTTGCCCATTTGACCCAGTCAGAAATTCAGGTGTCATGACAATTCCTTTTTCTCCCTTACCTGCCACATCCAATAAATGACAGATTTTATCAATATTGTCTTTTAAATATCTCCAGAATCCATCACAGTTCTATTCACTGTTATTTATTACATGGATTATTACAACAGTCTCTCAAATGGTTTCCCTGCCACATGGCATCCAGATAATCTTCCTAAAGCACAGTCTCTCTTTTGCTGCTGGGATTTTATACCTCTTATTTATTAAAGCATTTTGAAACATCTTTGTTCACGTTCTCTTCCCTACCAGCACCCACCCTCCCAAAATCCATACACACATACAAGTACAAACACTCCTTCCTCCTTTTACATTTGTCTAGCTTGTGCCTACTCATCCATCAGGCCTTGTATTACTTACTACTCATTCCTCACTTAATTATAAGCTCATTTCTTATCCTCATTCATCACTAAATTGTAAGCTCCTTGGGGCAGAGATCGTGTCCTGTTGAAACCCTAGTGCCTACCAAAGTGGCTAGTGCTTATTAAAATCTTTATAACCTGTGTCTGCTCAATGCCATACAAAGTTGAAAAAGTATAAATCTCATTTAAAGTGGTGGTTTGGCTATAACTGAAAACCTATGTTGGGTCATCTCCCTGAATGTTAAGTTAAAAATATGACTCATTTATGGGTTTTTGTTTTTGTTTTTGTTTTGAGATGGAGTCTCGCTCTGTTACCCGGGCTGGAATTCAGTGGCACGATCTTGGCTCACTACAACCTCCGTCTCCCAGGCTCAAGCGATTCTTGTGTCTCTGCCTCCTGAGTAGCTGGGACTATAGGCATGCACCACCATGCCTGGATAATTTTTTTATTTTTGGTAGAGATGGGGTTTCACCATGTTGGCCAGGCTGGTGTCCAGCTTCTGACCTCAGGTGATCCGCCCACCTCAGCCTCCCAAAGTGCTGGGATTACAGGCATAAGCCACCGTGCCCAGTTGATACAATTCTTTGTGTTTTCTCTATATGCCTTGGTCTCCCAAAGTGCTGGGATTACAGGTGTGAACCACCACACCTGGCCTGCTTATCTGTTTTTAAAGTTTATTTTTAAGAATAGAATGACTGCTGCACTATAGAATTTAGGTTGAAAATCTTGTTTGCAATACTGTCTTGACTTGTAGCTTTTTTCCTACTACTATAGATTCTACTACTATAATAAGCATTTTGATAGATTTTATTTTTATATTTGCACCAAGTCCCAAATTAGGAGAAAGAAAGCAGAAGGAAATTCCAGAGGAGTCAGTAAAGGAGGGCACTTTTCCAAAAGAGGGGCAGAAGGAGGAGGGCTCACAACAGAATGGAGATATGAAAGATGAAGAAAAAGAACAGCAGTTGACCATTAAGACCGAGGAGGTTGTGAGGCTTAGAGAAGAGCTGAGCCGTATAAATCAGAGCCTCCTTCAGTCTCAGAGCTCTGGGGATAGTTCAGATGACAGTGGTGCCCAGGTAGGTGATATAAACACAGGCACTGACTGGGCTCATTTCCTCTGATTGGCTGTGGATATAAGCATCATTTAAAATACCATCATTCTTATATGTATATTTTTTTAAATTTTTATAGGTACATAGTAGGTATATATATTTGCTTTGATACAGGTATGCAATGCATAAAAACCATATCATGGAGGATGGGGCATCCATCCCCTTAAATATTTATCCTTTGTATTACAAACAATCTAGTTTCACTCTTTGAGTTATATATATTTGTGAGCAAGAAAATAGCAACTAAAATCTGAACTAAGTCTGTCAGTTGATGTACTTTGTTATAAAATGTTCTTAAATGCCATCTAAGCTCAGCAGGAAAATTGCTGATTGACTGTTGATGTCTGTCCTAGCCAGATGGGATTGGGATGGTAGGATGTGCCACATTTTCCATTTCTAGTATGTAGCTTAGTAGACAAAGTACTTTGTTTTAGTGAGGAAAAGATGACAGACATTTTATTATTTTAATTATGGCTTTTGCTATTTTACTAGGGATCTGTCTGTAGGAGAAATAAAGGGAGTGACTACAGCCACTTCAGTTCTTATACCTGAATTTTGTAGATTCTCTCTTATACAATTAAGATTTCTCTACATACACCTTTCCAGAAATTATTTTAAGGTCCACAGAAGGGAGGCATTTGTATTCATAAGTAAACCTACTGCAGAAGGCTGATAATATACATTTGAAATATGATTCAAGTATACATTTAGAAAAAGAAGTGTAACAATAAAGGAAGTCAAAAATATATTTGAAAGAATTCAGATACAGACTTTCAAAACTAGACAAGTCACAGTAAATGAGGAAAATATATACCTGTAAGGAGATTTAGATACACCTGTGAAAGGAAAAGGAGTCACTCAGTTTCTTTAGAAGACCAAAGGGGAGCATGACATCAAATATTTAAGAAGAGATTACTTTTACAGCTCTAGATAGACATTGCTCAGTGGACACTGGTCAGTGTGGGAAGCTTGAGCAGAAGCTGAACACTGTGGTCACAAAGATGATCAAATATTTTCTTAGCCAGCAGTCTTCACTCTATTGCCACTATAGGATTGAACTTGCCATTGGGACTAGTCTGTTGGAAAAAGCAGCAAAGGAGAAAGGACTTACAGAGTGCCTACATAAATTGGTTATGAGTAACATAACCAATTCCTCTAAGGAGGAAGGCCTCTCCATGCCTCATGTTCCAGCGCAGGGTGACCTAGGCTCTGTTACCATAAACATTGTGCTCAAGGATGTAAAGCCCCTTCGTAGCACTATAGTGTAGCCAGACTTGTAGGTTCCATGTAAGGCCCGTGTTCCATCAGCTGCACATAGATAATAGGCTAAAAATAATCACATGTTCTTGTTTTGTGAAACTCCCAAATTGCTACTGTTATCAATCCTTAGGATGACATACCAGTTCTGGCTCACTGATTCACTTCTGGCTCATTAATTCACTCCACCATCACTCCACCCCTACCCTATAGATCAAAGTGATTATAACCAATAAATAGTGTGGATGATCAGAGTTAGGGGCCGTTACTGCCTCTTCCAAAGGAATAAAGTGATAGCCCCTTGGTCCCACTTTCTCTTTTAATCATCTGTCTTTTTCTCATTCCTTTGTCCCACTGAACTCGGGATACCCATGGGTGATGTAGGGCTGGTTCCCTGCATTCTGGCACCCAACGTGTGGGACTCATGGATTCCTACACCAGTCTATGAAGTTCATTTGTACTTAATATTTATTTTATTAAAATAATATTTTAAAATATTAAAAGCTGATAAAATTAGGATAGTTAAGGCTAGTTCCAACTTGTTTTATTTTAATTCTTAAGGAAGCTGGAAAAGATGTTAGACATCATCTGGTCTTGTGTCTTTAATTTACAGATGAATAAATGAAGTTTTTGATATGTTAAATGGTCCTATAGGCTGTTGATTATGAATTAATTGGCATAATAGATCTGTTGCTTGAGAAAAGTAAAAGACCCTTGTGTACTTACCTTTCCCTTTTATATGGTTCCTAGTAACCTGATCGAGCATATATGCTCTGCAGTAACTTTCTACCAGGATTATGTGGTGGGAAAAAAATAGAGACTCTTGTTGGCTGCTTGTCTAGCTGCTTCAACAGCTGACTGTGTTGAAAACTAATTTGCATTTCTACTCTGGCAGAGTAGCTGACCTGGAAAATGTAGGTGGGAAAACTACTGTTCTGGTTTTTCCAGCCTTCCAAAGAAGCTAAAACTTTTGGGCCTTTGTCCCCTTGGTAAAAATGGGGTGCATCTCTTGTATATAGTATCTCTGTTTTGGTATGTTAAATGGTCCTATGGGCTGTTGATTATTAATTAATTGTTAAAAGCTGTTATATAATGGTTAAACAAGAAGGTAGAATGGTGATCAAGGCATTCCAGGTTGTTTGCAGATGGAAAATGAAGACAGTTAAAGTAAATTTAGGAAGCATCATCAACTGTAATGGGTAACATTACTGAGTGCTTACTAAGTGCCAGAAATTGTGCTAAGTGCTTACATGTGTTATCTTACTAACTCTTCACCCCATCCAGCAGTAATCATTATTATCCACATCTTAAGATAAGGAAATTGAAGTATAGAAAGATGAAGTAATCTTTCCAGGATCACCCATTAATAAGTAGTAGAGTCAGGATTGAAACACAGGTGTATCTAATTCCAAAGTGAGTGTTCTTCTACCATTAAGATATTCCATGAGAAGATCTACCCCAAGACACATAATCATCAGATGCTCCAAGGTCGAAATGAAGGAAAAACTGTTAAGGTCAGCCATAGAGAATGGCCAGGCCACCTACAAAGGGCAGCCCATCAGTCTAACAGTGGACCTTTCAGCAGAAACTCTATAAGCCAGAAGAGATTAAGCGCCAATATTCAACATTCTTAAATAATTTTTAACCCAGAATTTCATATCCAGCAAAACTAAACTTCACAAACAAAGGAGAAATAAAATTCTTTCCAGACAAGCAAATGCTGGGGGATTTCATTACCACCAGGCCTGCCCTGCAAGAGCTCCTGAAAGAGCACGAAATATGGAAAGGAAAAACCGATACCAGCCACTGCAAAAACATACCGAAATATAAAGACCAATGACACTACGAAGAAACTGCATAAACTAGTGTGCAAAATAATCAAATAGCATCACGATGACAGGATCAGCTTCGTACATAACAATACTAACCTTAAATGTAAATGGGCTAAATGTCCCAATTAAAAGACACAGATTGACAAATTGGATAAAGAGTCAAGACCCATCGGTATGCTGTGTTAGGCGACCCATCTTACATGCAAAGACACACACACAGAGAGTTCTGTAGACGTCTACTAGGTCCATTAGATCCAGAGCAGAGTTAAAGTCCTGAATATCCTTGTTAATTTTCTGTCTCATTGATCTGTGTAATACTGACAGTGCGGTGTTAAAGTCTCCCACTATTGTGTGGGAGTCTAAGTCTCTTTGTAGGTCTCTAAGAACTTGTTTTATGAATCTGGATGCTCCTGTATATATTTAGAATTGTTAGCTCTTCTTGTTGAATTGTTCTCTTTACCATTATGTAATGCCCTTCTTTGTCTTTTTTGATCTACATTGATAAATTTCCCTCTTTGTGCACCACCATGCCTGGCTAATTTTTTGTATTTTTAGTAGAGATGGGGTATCACCATGCTGTCCAGGCTGGTCTCAAACTCCTGTCCTCATGATCTGCCCACATCGTCCTCCCAAAGTGCTGGAATTACAGGCGTGAGCCACCGTGCCCAGCTGGGGACTGGTTTTTTGAAAAAATTAACAAAACAGTTAGACCAATAGCTGGACTAATAAAAAGAAAGGCAAGAAGAATCAAATAGACACAATAAAAATCATAAGGGGATATCACCGCTGACCCCACAGAAATACAAACTACCGTCAGAGAATACTATAAACATCTCTATGGAAATAAACTAGAAAATCTAGAAGAAATGGATAAATTCCTGGACTCATACAGCCTGCCAAGACTTAACCAGGAAGAAGTTGAATCCCTGAATAGACTAATAACAAGCTCTGAAATTGAGGCAGTAACTAATAGCCTAACAACTAAAAAAAGCCTAGGACCAGAAGGATTCACAGCTGAATTCTACCAGAAATACAAAGAGGAGGTAGTACCATTCCTTCTGAAACTATTCCAAACAATTGAAAAGGAGGGACTCCTCCCTAACTCGTTTTATGAAGCCAGCATCATCCTGATACTAAAACTGGGAAGAGACACAATAAAAAAAGAAAACTTCAGGTCAATATCCCTGATGAACATCGATGCTAAAATCCTCAATAAAATACTGGCAAACTGAATCCAGCAGCACATCAAAAAACTTATCTACCACAATCAAGTCAGCTTCATCCCTGGGATGCAAGGCTGATTCAACATACACAAATCAATAAACATAATCCATCACATAAACAGAATCAAAGACAAAACACACATGATTCTCTCAATAGATGCAGAAAAGGCCTTTGATAAAATTCAGCATCCCTTCATGTTAAAAACTCTCAATAACCTAGGTACTAATGGGACATATCTCAAAATAATAACAGCTATTTATGACAAACCCACAGCCAATATCATATTGAATGAGCAAAAGCTGGAAGCATTCCCTTTGAAAACTCATACAAGACAAGGATGCCCTCTCTCGCCACTCTTATTCAGTGTAGTATTGGAAGTCCTGGCAATCAGGCAAGTTGTCTCTGCAGATGACATGATTTTATATTTAGAAAACCCCATCATCTCAGCCCAAAAACTTAACTGATAAGTGACTTCAGCAAAGTCTCAAGATACAAAATCAATGTGCAAAAATCACAATCATTCCTTTACACCAACAATAGGCAAGCAGAGAGTCAAATCATGAATGAACTCCCATTCACAATCACTACAAAGAGAATACCCAGGAATATGGCTAACAAGGGATGTGAAAGGAGAACTACAAACCACTGCTCAAGGAAATAAGAAAGAACACAAACAAATGGAAAAACATTCCATCCTCATGGATAGGAAGAATCAGTATTATGAAAATGTCCATATTGCCCAAAGTAATTTATAGATTCAGTGCTATTCCCATCAAACTACCATTGACATTCTTCACAGAATTAGAAAAAAAAAAAAACTATTTAAAATTTCATATGGAACCAAAGCCATATAGCCAAGCCATTCCTAAGCAAAAAGAACAAAGCTGGAGGCATCATGCTACCTGAATTCAAACTATACTGCAAGGCCACAGTAACCAAAACAGCATGGTACTGGTGTCAAAACAAACATATAGACCAGTAGAGCAGAACAGAGACCTTAGAAATAACACGACACATCTACAACCATCTGATCTTCGACAAACCCGACAAAAAGAAGCAATGGGGAAAGGATCTCCTATTCAGTAAATGGTGCTGGAAAACTGGCTAGCCATATGCAGAAAACTGAAACTGGACCCCTTCCCTATACCTTAAACAAAAATTAACTCAAGATGGATTAAAGCCTTAAATGTAAAACTCAAAACCATAATAACCCTAGAAGAAAAGCTAGGCAGTACCATTCAGGACGTAGGCATGGACAAAGACTTTATGACAAAAATGCTGAAAGCAATTGCAACAAAAGCCAAAATTGACAAATGAGATCTAATTAAACTAAACAGCTTCTGCACTGCAAAAGAAACTATCACCAGCGTGAACAGGCAACCTGCAGAATGAGAGAAAATTTTTGCAATCTACCCATCTGACAAAGGTCTAATATCCAGAATTTACAAGGAACTTAAACATATTTACAAGAAAAAAAAACCCCATGAAAAAGTGGGCAAAGGATATGAGCAGACACTTCTCAAAAGAAGACATTTACTTGGCCAAAAAACATATGAAAAAAAGCTCAACATCACTGACCATCTGAGAAATGCAAATCAAAACCACAATGAGATACCATTTCACACTAGTCAGAATGGCAATTATTAAAAAGTTAGGAAACAATAGATGCTGGTGAGGCTGTGGAGAAATAGGAATGCTTTTATACTGTTGGTGGGAATGTAAATTAGTTCAACCACTGCGGAAGACAGCATGGTGATTCCTCAAGGATCTAGAACCAGAAATACAATTTGATCCAGTAATCCCATAGAAATAATACCCAAAGAAATATAAATCCTTCTACTGTAAAGACACATGCACATGTTTATTGCAGCACTATTTACAATATGTTTATTGCAGCACTATTTACAATAGTCAAGACATGGAACCAACCCAAATGTCCATCAATTACAGACTGGATAAAGAAAATGTGGTATATATACACCATGGAATTCTATGCAGCCATAAGAAGGAATGAGATCATGTCCTTTGCAGAGACATGGATAAAGCTGGAAGACATCATCCTCAGCAAACTAACACAACAACAGAAAACCAAACACTGCATGTTATCTCACTCATAAGTGGGAGTTGAACATTGAGAACACATGGATACAGAGAGGGGAATAACACACACTAGGGCCTGTGGAGTGTGGGAGGTGAGGGGAGGGAACTTGGAGGATGGGTCAACAGGGGCAGCAAACCACCATGGCACACATATACCTATGTAACAAACCTGCACATTCTGCACATGTATACTGGTTTTTTTAGAAGAAATTTTTTTAAAGTGAGGCTTCTTCATAATTATATTATACTCCATTAAAGATTTTTTTCTAGGGATCTTAGAGTCTTGCAGCTCTAAGAAAAGCAGATTGTATTTAGATTGTCTTTTTAGCTAAACCAAAATGGGAATTGAAGAGCCAACAGGACTTGAGGGCCTCTGTGTTACTTTAGGGATATAAGCAAGCTAAAACTAAAACAATAACGTGGCTTTTTAGAAAGTTGTAGACAGGAAGCATACTGGACCAGGACTAAGGAAACGCTAAGAATATCTTATCTATTGAATTGTATAAAATTGAATTGTTTATCTATTCAGCGTACCTACTTGTGCCTACCTTTTGTAGAATGTCCAAATTACGGTTCTCTTATTTCACTGGAGAAGCCTGATAGGAAAGTGTATTGCTGATGTTTGATACATGTGCTTTATTTTTTATAGCTTTATTCAAGACTTTTTTTTTTCTTTTTTTTTTTTGGAGACAGTGTCTCTCTCTGTCACTCAGGCTGGAATGCAATGGTGTGATCTTGGCTCACGGCAACCTCCACCTCCCAGGTTCAAGCGATTCTCATGTCTCAGCCTCCCAAGTAGCTGGGACTACAGGTGCATGCCACCACACCTGGCTAATTTTTGTACTATTAGTAGAGATGGGATTTCACCATGTTGGCCATGCTGGTCTCAAATTCCTGACCTCAGGTCATCCACCCACCTAAGCCTCCCAAAGTGCTGGGATTACAGGCGTGGACTACCATGCCCAGTCTATTCAGGATTATTGACAAACATCGTATATATGTGGTGTACAACCTGATGTTTTGATATATATATATATACATGGTGAGATGATTAAATCAAGCTAATTTACATATCTATCTCACATACTTTCTGTGAGAACATTTAAGATCTACTCTTTTAGCAATTTTCAAGTATACAACACATTATTATTAAGTATAGTCACCATGCTATGCAATACATCTCCAGAATTTATCCTGCCTATCAGAAGCTTTGCACCCTTTGACCAACATCTTCCCATTCCATGCCTCCCCTCCCCAGTCTCTGGCAGCCACCATTCTATTTGCTGCTTCTATGAGTTCAACTTTATAAGTTCAACTTTTTTAGAGTCCACATATAAGTGAGATCATGCAGTATTTGTCTTTCTGTGCCTGACTTATTTCACTTAGCATAATGCCCTTCAAGTTTATTCATGTTGTGACAAATAAAAGGATTTCTCTCTTTTCCTTTCTCTCTCTCTCTCTTTTTTTTTTTTTTTTTTTTTTTTTT